AGGCGGCCGCGCCTACCCCATCTTAGGGATTTCGATTGTATAAATAGTAACGAATATGTTGGTAATGTGCCTGAAGTCATCCTAATGTTCATTCTTTGACGAGGGCCACAATAGACTTTTATTCAGGGCGTCATCCCTTGCCATTGTCTCGTCTCCATCCCAATTCACACCAGCAGCTCTTTGGTTTCAAATTATATTTGGCTTAAAGAATTAGTTGTGAGGCCTGCTAAAGTGGATTTCGGTGCTTTCAACTCTTTCAGATGATACGGTACTAAGTGACCGATCCGAAAGAATCGAAGGATCCGAGTTGAATGGCCTCACAAAGCTCGATCTCAGATCCGATACTGGACCTTCATAGCGGTAGCGTAACTCATTCCATCATGAGATAACTTTGAGAAAAGCTCAATTGCAACAATCCTTTCCACGACGTGAACGTCAGCGCCGCTCTGATATTGACTGAGAGCGTGCTAGCGGGAGGGCTGGTCACATAGTTTATACTCGCGGGATGTAATGGTGTGCACACGGAATCCTCGAACGAGGGAGGTCGTATTAGGCAGCGTTCATACTTCGCGACAGCAGTGGCGATCGCCGCGATCGTCGGTACGCGTCAGAGCGCGCCCCAACGCTATTACTGGACCGCTCGCTTTGATAAATAAGGAAATCCAACTTGTAATACCTTTTTCATTGTTTCAATTTACATAAGTGTCTTGAAACTTTCCTACTGGCCAAACTGTCCAACTTCCAAAACATTTATAGTTTACAAGTCAAGATGAATCAAAACACTAATTCTTTTATGCAACATCGAGGAGGAGGAAACTTCATAAGTTCATGTATAAGCTCGAAGAATGAAAAAAGAAACAATAAGAAACTTCACCTAAATGAAGCCCCCGCTTTTTGCTCATTTCTATCCTGAATCAAAAAAATAGACAAGAAAGGCCATTAAGTTCCATCCACCGTTCCTTGTTTCAAAACGAATTCTAGTATCTGAGTCAACTGCAATTGAAAAAAAAACAGGAAATTGAGCCAATTCCTCCTATTAGCACTCGGAGCGGTCCAAGTAATAGCGTTGGGGCGCGCTCTGATGCGTACCGACGATCGCGGCGATCGCCACTACTGTCGGGAAGTATGAACGCCGCCTTAGGTTTTATAACGATCGGCTTTGACCCAAAAGAGATGAGTACTCGAAGAATATGATCTTCTATGCTTCTTTTGTATGTAGTGTACAGCTAAAGGGAGAATGAAAGGTAGATGTAACTCGACAGTACTGTTGGAGGAAGTCCTAGTTGAGGCAGTGGCGAAAAGGGAATAGTATCGTGGTGGAAGATCATGCTGTGCTAGGAGCCTGAGATATAGGCAAGGTAGGATGGATACAGCAGAAGTAAGTTAAAGGCACGATCTGCGGCTGGAAGCGTAGGTAGTGGTGTTGAATATGAAAGAGAAGTTGACCGTCGGAAAAGCCTTTAGTGGAACCTGCTTAGCCCTAGGCAGTTCTACGAGTACAAGGAGAAAAGGCCGCAGCTCCATGGGGGTAAGGGATGTGGTTTGGGTATCCACGTATATTATTTAGAACAAGGAAATAGTCCTGCGGAAACTTCCCTA